ATGTAATGTGTGTGTAGATAGTGAGTAATTGAACTGCAGTCAGAAGTATTGTTGACGTTCATTGATTAGCGTTTGTTTTAGCGCGATTGTTGAAGTTGAGTGTATTGGTAAAGTTATATTCGGAAACAATAAACCAGTTTTATTAAGAAAGAACTTGTGTCGCTTAAGTTTCGTCGGAACGAAGTTAGGGGAAATCAATTAACAAAAGGAGACGTAACAATATATATATATAACAGTATAATTTACAATAGTAACTATTATGATTAATTATTATGCCCTCCAGTGGCACAGCGGTATGTCTGCGGACTTAATACGCTAAAAACCGGGTTTCAATTCCCATGGTGGGCAGAGCACAGATAGCCCATTGTGTAGCATTAGTTTAATTACAAACAAACAATTAATTATTACAAACAAAGTTTCATAAACAGAAACTTTACTAACTTACAAATAACGACAAAACGTCTTCCTAGTTCAGAGTCTCCTTGATATCCAGCTAGTAAGCTTGAAGTCGATGTACGTACAATTGTCGGGAAGCTAGCTAGCTTTGTCAGGCACTGAATTGTTGGACAGTTGAAGTAGGATAATATTTTCATAAAACCATTAATATCCGATGAGAAACCAGTAATCTTTTTGGAAAGATAATAACGTTTGATGAGAATTTACTGACGTTCGAAATTTATAACTGTTCGTGGTCAAATGTAATTTACTTTCCAGTTGGTAATGGTTAGCAAAATCAAGGTTTATAGCGTACACGGTTATAACAGTTTTCTAGCAGACTTATATGTTCTCTTTTTTGGCCTTGGTCTTTTTATATGGGCGGGAAATGTCGTTCTCGAAAGTTCGGACAACACTGAACTATATTTAACCAGTTACGGAAGTGGATATATTGTCGATTCTTGCGTTCAAGAATACTCTACAATCTTGGAGAATTGGCGGGAGTTTCGCCATACGTAACTAACACTGTGAGCTAGGCGCGTTTTTACATATAAACTCAATCCAAACAAACGTTGTCATTAAAATAAATTCGTTACGCGCAATACATATCCAACACTATAAGTTACGCATATTTCTAAATACAAACTTAATCTACACAACGTTCATATTAAAAATGAACACATGACAACAAATTCGTTACAACAGCTTCTTGTGTTTTTTGTTTTTTCTCATGCTTAAATGTAATGCATAACTGGGATATTTGATTGTGAATACTCTTATTTAAAACCTGGAAAATTTCTTCTGTGATTTAATTAAGAAGTTATATATTTATGCTGATTTTATAGATACCTGTTATCTTCTTTTAAAACGTTGTTACTGAATATTTTTTTATTTATTTATACTAGAACTTGTGTCAAAACACCAAAATTAAAAGAAATTAACATAAAATTTGTTTGTTGTTAAGCGCAAAGCTACATAAAGGGTTATCTGAGCATTACTCACCATGGGTTATTGAACCTAATTTTTAGCGTTGTAAGCCTTCAGACTTACCTTTGAATCACTAGGGGCATAACTACGGGAAATGAAATTTAAATGTTGAGGACCTTGTATTTAATAGCAAAAATATCAAATACCTGAAAAATTATTTCATTTTAGAAACTGAAATATTTTCGAATCAATGTTTCATTCTCTATGTATATCTTATGTTATTAGAAGCGGAAAATGTTTTCTAACTTTCAGACTAGTAACTAGAGGGAGTAAGTTTAGGAGGTCTAATCGAAAGGTAAAATTATTTTGTTTGATGCAGTAAGAAGCGGAAATTAATATTAAATATCTTAAATGGCTGAAAAGAAAGTAGAATCTTCGAGAAAACGTTCTATGCCAAAATGGTTAGTTTCATTAGATAATGCACAGTGTTTTGAATATAACTGTTCAGGTAAAAGTGTTCCAACCGTCTTGCGTGACGTTAATTATAGAAATAAACCTAACGTTCCCAGTTTTTCAAGTTCAGGTGAAGCAGGACAAGAATTGGTTTCGTTGGAAAAAGTGCTATCAGATGATTTTCCTGTCTTGAATTTTAACGGGAAAATATACTGCTATACTAACATTGGGGATGCATCAAGAATTTGTGAAGATTTAATTGCAGAAAGTGAAAAACGTGGAACAGTGGTTGTTGGGTTCGATGTAGAATGGTCAGTTGATTACCAAGTAGGACGGCAGAACAAAATTTCCCTTATTCAGATTTGCTCATCAGAAAATGATTGTCACCTTTTCCATCTTGCATCAATGACAGGTTTTCCAAAAGCCTTAAGGCTTTTATTAGAAAAGTCCAACATTATAAAAGTTGGATTGAATATTGAAGGAGATTTATGGAAAATAGAAAGAGACTTTAAATTTCCTGTTCATAAGATTATTAAATCGAGTTGTATAGAACTTTCTGAATTAGCCTGTGAAGTGTTGGACAAGCCAGGACAAAAATGGAGCCTAGAAGGTCTTACACAATTCGTTCTACAGAGACGTTTACCAAAAGACTCAAATGTAAGAAAAAGCTGTTGGCATATATGGCCTTTATCCCAAGAGCATATCCAATATGCTGCACGAGATGCTTTTGCATCTTTTTTATTATACAAGAAGCTATGTGAAATGAAATAGTTACTTTTGGATATGAAACACAACAGAAACGTTTTTGTGTTTTAACTGATATTCAGTAGTGTAACTTATTTTGTTTATTGCAAGTTTGGTGTATTCTAATTATTATTTCATTTTAAAAAAGTGATTAAAATCTAGTTTGACTGCAGATTACTATTTTTCCTACTCTTAATTACTCTCTAACAGATTTGGAAAGAGAATTGTAAAATTAGTATTTTCGATCTTATTTTGTTTGATATAAATCAGTGCCCAAGAGAACAATCATTATGAGATTTCATGAGGTGGGCTGAACTATGCAGTCAGAAGTATATATTGAATGCAATACAATAAATACGTTGTAATGAGGTTTTTTAGGCTTAAAAAAAATTATGAAAGTTACACTTCACCTTAATATATTTTTCTTATGACTTGAAATGGAGTAATTAAACAGACTTGTAATAAGAAATGCATAGTCTATGGTCAAGTTTGAATTTGGTTACTTTTATTAGGCCTCAAAAAGCATTATTTCATCTGACATACCATAGTTTAACAGACTGACAAACAAATTCGGCCCTGCTCTTATGCCATTAAAAAAAAAATGCAATGAAAATTCATTAAAGCTGTAAGATCAGGGTTAAATTGCCAAATGCCTCATCTAGTGACACTAATGAATAGATTGAGGTTTGAAATGCTGATATCTACTAGTGAAATCACAGTAAAGGCGAACAAGATCAAAATCAAGTATCAACTGATGCACTGTTTTTGTAAGTTATATAAATTGAGTTTTTTGAATTTCTTAAATTTTGCATAATTCTAAAAACATCAAGTTCTTGGGTAGATTAAACTTGAAGTGCATTCAAAATAGTCATAGTCTTGATTATTTCTCAGAAAAATTATGTCTAACAAAACATATCTTTATAATTCCAAGAAAGTTTTCCTGTTAGATCAATTTTTAAAGTTTAACTTTGATATGGCACCAGATCATAAGGCTGCATACTACTACCTGTGCAAATTCAAGTGATACATAGAAATCACCAGTGGTTAATTTCAAAGTGTTTTTAAATTTATTGATAGTTACATCATTTTATATAAGATGAAAATATTTAGGCATTGTGTGTGGCGTTTAAAGCTCAGTTACACTGCTTTAGTAACTTTTTACAGAATTAAAAATGTTTTAGGCATTTCTTTCTTCAGGACAAATAAGACTTGTTATTATCACTCTAGTCTTTTAAGTTTAAAAGGTGTTTGTAGTTATGTGAGCATCATGTTACATTACTAGTAATGTTTAGAAGATACAAAAGGTAAAGTAACAGTAATATAGAGGTTTTGAAGTATAAAATATTTAGTTGGAACTTTATGAAAGCAAAGACTGTAAGATATATGAAATGAGAATTGGTAAAAGAAAATATTAAATACTTGTAAATATATTGGTACCACAAATAAATTCCCAAAATTATTCATGAAATAGATACTTATTAAATTAGTAGACCTCTGTAAGAAATTGTAATTCAAGTGTATGTTTATGTAAAAGAAAATAAGCCTTTCTAATCATAATTTTGTAAAAACATAATTATTGTAGATGTGTACTTTACATCCAAATAAATTTTTTACTTTTATAACAAAAGTTTATATTGTGTTATAGATGCTTAGTACATTGTAAATGTAAGAATTTGTTTGCTTTGTCATTCGTACAGGCCTGTCTGAGTATATAAAACACATAATTGTAATGGATACATATGTTAAAGCTGATAGAATTTACCCTTCTATGACAAGAATAAATTATATCTTCAATCAGATATAATCAGGTAAATTTATAAATTTTTTCATGCAGGTGTTCTGCATTTAGTTAACTTCTTGAAATGATAATGTAGGTAGTTATTGACTTGATTGAATCATTTTCTAAGGTGAACATTACATACTACAGTGGTCATTCATTAAAGCTTCTACATTCCAAGCCAAACTTCTGAATTTCTTTTCTATTTGTTGTGGGTCATACCAGGTAAAGAAGTCATGGTGTAAAGTTAATATCTCTTTGAATGTATAATAAAAATAATGTAGGTATTGTAATGTTGTTCTTTTGTTGGTGGATTCTTTTAAATTGCCTTGTGAAAATAATACAATGTCTAGTCCTTGTACCAATCTCAAATTAGTTTTCTTTCTTCAATATTTCAACAAACATGATCACTTGTACACTGTTGTAAATTGTTGTAGGCTTGCATTACAAATGACATTAATTAACAAAAAACAAATCATATAATCTGTACAAAGTAACTCAATGAGCATGATAGCAAATGAAGATCTAAATAATTCACAAAATTGCACTGACTGAATCAACTTTCAAATAACCACACGTGTTAATGATCTCTTATTTATAATCTAGCTTCATATGTTCTAAAAAAATAACTATGTCACATCCTTAGAATTTACTAGATGTTCTAGGCCTATTTTATTAAACTGTTTGATCTGAACATCATTTTTAAGACCCAGAGGTCCCTTTAGCTAATATTTGGTTCATAATATTAAAAATATAGCTTATATCACTGCTCTATTCTTGAAATTATGAAGTCCATTGAACAATCTTCATACACAAAATATAACCATGTACTAAATATGCCAGTTCTTTTTTTAGTGGTTCTCTCTTATAGTGACTTTTCATTTTATCACTATCCGATTAAGTCTTTCTTGAGTAAAGTCAAGTATGTCAGTGATGGTGTTTCTTAATCTTCACATATCCTGTTGAAGATTCTTCCGAGTGACAGTTCTCTAATGAGAGAAAAGAAGGTTCTATGGCACTTTAATGTTCTCTCCCAAACATCAGTAATGATGGTGGGTTGACAACAGTCTCATGAACTGCTGTGTTATAACTTCAATAACAGTGGAAGATCTTGATCTCACATTCTCTGATGTTTATTCAAATACATCACTAATTGATTTAACACTTTGTGGTTGTATCTCTCCACAATTCTGTTAGAAAGATAGATGAAAAGCTGTTATCCTAGTCTTTTTAATCAAAAAAGATCTGACACATCTCTGCAAGCAAGTATGATTCAAAGTTCCATCCCTGATCTGAATGAAGCTCCACAGGCATACCAAATCTGAGATAAACTTGTTGACCACTTTCTTTGTAACAGTTTCAGTTTCCTAGTTAAGAATAGCATATGCTTCTCACCAGTTGGTGAAATAGTCCATCAAAACAATAATTTATCTATTTCCACTGTTACTCTGTGGGGACAAGCACACCACCAGAAATTCTCTCCACTGGATCTCCAAAACAACACTGCTATAGCTGTTCATTCAATTTCTTTAGTGGATTCTTTCATTCACAGCGGAGTTTACATGTTTTACACCAGTTGTCCACAGATCCCCAGCACAAAACTCAGTAAAAGTATTATCTTACTCATTCCAGTGTCTTCTTAACACCCAAGTGTTCAGCCATTGGAAGATATCAGAGATGACAAAGCACCACAGAATGTAGAGAATGGAGAAGTACCGACTGTAAATGTTTCTGTCACTTGTTATCTGGAATAATAGACTTGCTTGAATCATTGAAGAATCCCACTGTGCCCGATACATCATTGTTTTTGGTGTGTATGGAGCAATTGTTTGCCATGATGGTTGTTGTGCACCATTATTGAGGCACTGAATAATTCATTTTAAACTCTTATCTTTTGTTTGGTCACATTTGAAATGAATGTTGGAGTACATAAGTTCTTCATTATCACTGGTGGATGCCATTTCTTGAACTATGGTTACCTGTACTTTAGGTTGGTTGTCTTTTGTATCCTATGCTTTCCTCTTTTCACAGTGTTTATGCTCTTCATTAACATGATATCTAGGATAACTGGTCAGCATTTTCATAGTTCTGTACACAGCAATGTACAATATTAAAGATGTATTCCTGGATCTTTAGGAGATATCTTTCTCTTTGGCCTTCTGGATTATGAAAATTCACTAGCCACTTCAAAGATGCATGATCTGTCCAGAGCTTCAACTTTTGTCCTTATAGGTAATGATGGAGGTGATACAGGGCTTGAACAACACTTAGTAGCTCCTTTCGAATTGTACAGTACCTCTCTTTTTTTTTGTGGCATTTATAGGTCACTTTCCCACAAATCCATGATTGTATGAGGAATGACATGGTAAGATAATTGGGTAAATCTTCCACAAGTTTGGCTAAGGTCTCCTCTTTCTTCTGTGCTCTTACTACTACTATCTGATGTGACATTCCAAACCTGTTGGATAAGGTGGTTACTAATGCTTTATAATTGTTACAACTCTCAGTTGGAAGGTTACTTAATTTTGTCAAAACAGGTTGGTTTAGATGAATGACTTGTTCAGTATTTCACCAGATGTTTATTCTGTTGCTGATATTCTTTTCTACATCAATGATGCCCCTTTTCTACTTATCTTTTAACTTCATCAATGTTCTGTATTTCTTCAAATTTGTTGTTGTAATCCTTCTGTACATCCCCTATAACTTCATCAATCTTGTCTTCAATCAGATTTATTTTTAATTCATGTTTAGTAGTACATCTGTTTTTTTTTTACTTCTTTTTAAATTTCTGTCACATTCTTTTAATTTTTTATTTCTTCATTCTCATATTTTTCTGTAAGTTTCTTATTGGTCATCTTTCACTTTTAATCTCTTTTTTCTAATTTTCTGTCCCTTTCTTCAAATTTTCTTTATTCTCAATCTTTTTTATTTTCCTGTAAATTTCTTCTTGGTCTTTTATTTTTCTATTTCTTTATTCTAATTTTCTATCTAGTTCTTCTTTGTATTCTGTAAATTTTGTCTCATTTTTCTTGACCTTCTTTTAATTTCATCATATCAAGTAATGCTTGAATGTCACTGCATGACCTCACCATCTTCAACAGTTGAAGTTCTATTTCAAATATATTAAAAATGTTATCTTATTTTCTCTAAAATAATGACCCATTTCTGAAACCAAATGTTGTAACATTGTTCTTTCATTTACAGGTTCTTTTAAATTATCTGATGGAAATAAATCAGTATCTAGTTTATATGCCCATCACAAATTATTTTATTTCCTCCTTTAATGTTTCTATGCTTGAACACTTGTACACTGTTAGAAATTGTTGTAAGCCTATGATACAAATAATACTAACTTGTAAAAAGTACCTCAATAAGCACAATAGGAAACAAATCCAATTACTTCACAAAAACACACTGACTTATTCAACTATTTTGAAGTAGCTCTAAATGTTTCACAATGTTCTTGTGTTTATAATTTATTTTCAAATATGCTAAAAAACTGGAATTCACATCTTTAGGACTTTCTAGGCCTATTGTATTGAACTTTTTGATCTGAATGCCATTATTAAGTCCAGTGGCTCCCTCTAATTAATGTTTAAATTTGTGTATTAAAATATAGCTTCTAACAGTATTTCAGGATTGTGTGATATCATCCTAAGACTTTGGTCTGACTTTAAAAAGTGATATTTCACATAGTATTGCAGCCTGCCTAATCTAAAGAAGTATTTTATTTCTGCCTGAAAAGCCAGAGTTTGAACAACACCAAATATCAAGTAGCCAGAAATGTTCAGTAACTGTATATGTGTGAATAATTTTTTTTTTGTTTTACACTTGTATTTAAGTCTTGTGATAATTTTACTCATGCAAGTAAATTCAAACCTCTTGAATTGTGTGCTTAGTATTTACCTACTGCTCAGGTACATCTTGTGATACCATAGACTAAGTTATTAAGTTGCATCTCTGATACTGTGACCAAAGATTTTTTGAATTTATTTTAAACATGTGTCTTTTTTCTGTTTGGCAATGTTAATAGTTGAGTTTATAAATTGTGTTTATTGAAAATTATTTCCCTAAACGTTTTAGAACTCATGGTAAGGGAGAAGAAGAAAGCTGTAATTCAGCTGAGTTTTACTAAGGACAACAATTCTCCAGATTCCTAGAAGAAGTGTCTCTTAGCCATGTAGTGATGGAGATGCTTGTAGCTAGTATCTGTTTACACCAGAATGAAGCAGTGTAACCTTCTGGTATTTATATTTGTGGCCTGGACCATTTACTCAAATTTTAAAACAGGTTATCTCATGGAACAGTTGGACTTCAGGACCCAAGATAACACAAGATCAAGGTAAGGGATCCTGTCAAGATGAAGCCCTATGGGAGGCCCTGCATGAGAAGAAACAACAGACAAAGCAACTGTAAATGTTGGTGTAGACTATATGAGAAGACTTAGTATATGAACTTAGAAAAGTCTTTATATATTGTGTAAAGAATATTGTAAATATTTTTCTGTTCTGTTGCATCTGTTGTAAGAACTTGCCACTTCTTTTGTCTTCTGGGACCTGGCAGCCCCATCAGCCGTGAAAGGTCCTGGACATACTGATGATGGAAGGGGCAGCACCATTTAACACCTCATTGATCCCAGAGAAAGTAGCTCAATAGGATCTGCTATTAGTGTCTCATTGTGTGGTTGGTGGGTGCCCTGTCATTAAACATCATTGATTTCAGATGTGTTCACTTTTTTGGTGAGAGCATTACTTTCTCAAACCAAAGAAAAACTTTCTGGAACTTGGACTCTCTCATGGGTTTAGCAGTCTCTGGGAGGGTTGGAGCACTATGGGATCCTGGACAACTCCTGCTGCCTCAAGAATCTTGACAACTACAATGGATGCCACCATGATAATGACTATGCAACACACCATTAAAATGGAGATAAAGCAAGGTACCTCTCCCTCAGTGGTGGTTAGTTGTAAGCCACTGCCTCTAAGCAACATGAAACCATACAGGCAGATGAGAGTAGAATTCCCAACTAAGCCACCAGTGTTTGTAACCAACAGACCCACATTAAACCAGAATTTTAAGGAAATGCTCACCAAATGGACAGAGGCCTGGGCCATTTACAAGAGACAGGAAGACCAGCTATGGTGGAGAGCAACACCATCATTGTGGTTTGAAGAAGAGGTACACCACTTGTGTGTCAAGTTGCTTGACACCAAGAGAGCCCTGGCCAAGGTCCAAGACACCTTGTGACCTACCATGGCGGTCAATTAAAAGAAAACAGCTAAACTTGAGGATCTATTGATGGGAGTGAGACTTTGTACTCGCTCTGGTTAAATAATGTATTGTTACGTCTCCGTGTGTTAATTA